CCGAGGCGGCGGATGGTCGACGACAGACCAAGGCGGAGCCGGAGGGACAAGGGAGCCCGGCGGAGCTGGTGGACTGATGGGCTACGGTGGAGAGGAGGGAGCTAGGAGCCATGGTGGAGCCGCTGGGTCGAAGGGCTGAGGCGGAGTCCGGGACTCAGAGGCTGGAGGCAGAGACAAGGGATCCTCCAGCCACGACGCCGATGTAGAGTGGCAGACCCGCAGCGAATCCAGTGCACAGATGGTGGGCTGAGGGTGAGCAGATGGGCTGACAGGTGACAGCGGTGGCGATGGAGAACCAGAGATGACAGGAGAAGTCAAGGGAGGGAGGGTGGGTGGGAAATCCAGACAGACATATAGTCCCAGGCAGACAGATAGTTCAGGGCTGACAGAGAGTTAATCTGAAGGCAGGAGAAGAGGCGGCATGTCTGCATATATGTCCTCCTTACAGTCCATAGAGCGGTGCTCACCCTCAGCCATGGTACAGTGGGCGGAGCTTCCCTCCGCACTCACACTGTTCATGACACTCTCCACCGTGGCGAGCTCTGCTGCCGGCTCTCACACCTGGTCTGACGTTGTGGGCTTTGGCTCCGCGGCGATCCTCAGCTCTGTTGCAGTCAATGGCGATGGCTAGTCGGTCATGGCGGGCTCTGGCTCTCCGTCAGCGGTGGGCTCAGGCTTTGACTCCGCGCAGCGGGGAGATGGTGGGCTGGGCTCTGGGTCTGGAGTGGCACTGGTGAGATGCTCTTCGGTGGGGCCGATGGTGAATGGCGATTTGTTGCTCACCAGCACCCACTCCACAAAGGCGGCGAATGAATCCCGAGGTCCACCTCCGGACAACCGCGCTCTGTACTCCTCGTTGAGGCTCGTCTGGAAGAACTCGCAGAGGCTGCTGTCCGGGCTGCTGGAATGGTTGGCGATCTCCACGAAGATCGCCGAGTGGACCTCGAGAGGCATCTCCCCCTGCTCCAGCAGCAGGAGGAGGGCATCGGGGTGATGTTCTTGTTTCAGGAGGGGAAGGAGATCTTTCAGGTAATCCATGAATAAAAATAAAAACTGACAAAAAACGGGAGGAAAAAAAACGGATAGAAGGGGCGTTGCTACTTTAACTTTTCAAGGTCCGGTATTCTGTCACGGCTGTGTCGAGGAAGGCACACGAGAACGATGATAGAATTAATATGGAGTTTAATAACATCCAAGACGAAGATAATCCACAGAGAATGAAGGGTAGACACACACCAACACAAACGTAATACCAGACCAAGAAACACTGAATAGAATGCAACTTATATGAGGAACGTAAATGAGGATAATTACTAGACACACCTGAACATAATGACACAATCAACAGGAGACAGAAACTAGGTCACACAGAGAACATGGGGAATGAAAAACACAACAAAACGTCCATAACTGTGACAGTGACTCTGATACCGGGCTTCAATTACATATAGGGCTCCAGTACATGTAGGGGCACCTGGGAGTCACAAAGCTGAAATCAAAAGCTTTTTCATTGCTCCTGTTCCCTTGTTTTTATTATTCTATATTATTCCGTTCATATTCTCAAAATTTAGCATTATAAACCACGCTTTTACAGAATTAAATATTTTGATGAAAATATCCTATGCAAGATCACAGGGAATTCAATAAAAGAAGTGGCAGAGCAGACTAATATTACGGACACAAATTTATTATAATGGCAGTGCTATACACAAGTTCAATGTAAATGACATGGATAAAGAAATATGTTGGTCATAATAAAGCCCAATAATACATCCAAAACACAGATTTGAGCAGCAAAACTGCTTTGATGCTCAGAAAAAAAGAGGTATGTAACCCCTTTTAGTTACAGGCTATTATACAGTTATTTGCTTTGATTTAGTCTTGGCCATATAATGACGTACTACCAAGCAATGATAAGATCATAAATCATGCTATCAAAGAATGAGATTTATAGACATAAACACACAGAAAGTAGTTTGTGTTTTCAAACAGATGGCTTACAGAAATTCCAGACAAATCACACTAGAGCAGAGACGGTGTGATGTGTAAATACTAGGGTAAATTTGTGCTGGCATCTGCTCTCTGAGCTCCCCTAATGATTTCGATCCAAGTCACTGGCTATGAATCAGACACACTAATCATTTTGAAACTGGTCAATCTGACACGAATTTGATCTGTTCCAAGCAATTTCTGCAAAGAAATTGGCTGCAGTGTCGGCATGCTCATTTTAAGCTGTAGAAATAGAAGTATTCGCAGGGCAATTTGCCATTTGATTTGCCTTGTGGTTATTTGTTTTTATGTGTTATTAAACTCTAGATTTGTTTGTCTGCATTTGATTTGCTCTCCAAATTAGTTTGCTGCCATCAGGGGATCACTTGAAGTCTGTTACTGAACTACAGCATAATGCAGAATTTGCATATAATATGATTATTTTGATACATTGTGTTGGTCTTTTTGCTAGGGCTGAACGATTTTGGAAAATAATCTAATTGCAATTTTTTTTTACCAATATTGCGATTTAATATGCAATTATTTTTTAAAGCTCTTTATGTTCTGTATTATTCAACAAAGACAAGCTATAAATCATTGTATAGTATGACCAACACACTATTATAGATAGATTAAACATAAATGTTCTTTTCTGTAGGCCAGGCCTATATGTTACGATGAAATTAGGTGATGCATGAATTTATATGAATGAAATTTTTTTTTACTTCAGTTACAGTAGTACATTGACCCATTATAATCAGTGACGCTGTCTACACTGGATGCGGCGTGACGTTAAACTGATGCCTTGTTCTATTTATGACGTACTGACACAAAGTTAAAATGATTTGCAATGGTTGCTTTGTCGCATCCAGTGTAGAGCTGTTGCGGCACGACGCACAACTGTAGTGTCCGGTATAGACACGGTGAGTGAAGCCGAGAGCAAGATATGCCTCGTCATATTTTCTGCATTTAGCTTTTAAATGACCAGCAGCTGCCTGGGTCTGTGCGACTTCATCTATGGCTTTTCTCTTCCCTTTCACAAACCAATCCATCTCCCATTCTAAGTTACGTCCTTTGGCTGTTTACTGTTTTATTTCTTTTCTTTTTCTGCTGATGGCCGGCGCTCGATTTGAAGCAGCGCTGCTTAGACCGATGGGTGTGTCATCAAAGTACTGCGAGCGCTATAAGAGAGCACGGATGTCTCCTTATACTTTCGCTCGCCATACTTTGATGTCATACACTGATCTGATCTTCAAGTGGAACACACCTCTTTACTCTCGCGTGTCACGTGACCGAGTGTAATCGTGTTTTTTTCATATCGCGATATCGCAAATGCAATTAATCGTTCAGCCCTACTTTTTGCTGCTTTTTTTTTAATTGACAGGAGAGGGGGAGTTGGATCAGGATGTGACGCAGGCCAGATTTTCTCACACTACAGCAACATAAATACTTTTAAAGACATCATAAAACAGATTTGCAACATTTAGCAGATTGTCTAGTTGGACATAATGCAACGACTAACTTGATTTTGTGGATCATACGCAATGATGATTTTCCCTGTCTGTGTGTCCCTGTCCCTGATTACATCAAAAAAGAAGTCATCTCAGAGGCAGAAAAAGTTCTTACAATTTGATGACAGATTTGACAAGTATTTTTTTTCTTTAGAATAATGCACACTGATGAATTATGCACAATACTGACCAGAGACAATTTATTAAAATGCAGGCAGAGAGTCACACTTAATGTCATGTTAAGGTGATTTATATATACAGCTATTGTTTGATTCTTCTGATAGAGTGTGAGTAATGGGACACATCTTATAATTTCTTTGAGAGAAATAATAAGAATTATAAATCTGAATAACTGTCACAATCACAGCATTTCTTGAATATAAGCCAAGGCCTATGAAATACACACCTGTAATAACCAGTAAACAAAGTGGGAGGAGATGTTCAATATTCACTCAATATTTCACTGTTTTCAAAACCATTTTGGTTTAGAAAAGGTCACAAAGGCAAAATATATAGAAAATGAAATATGGTATTTGAATGATGCTGTCAAAAGGAAATAAACTGATAAGGTCAAGGGCGAGTTAAACCAAACTGACTTAGAAAAACAAATGAACACTTCCTATCTGAAATCCCTTTAAACTCGCCAGTGTCACATTTAAAACATTTCACCACTGTGCATTTCAAAGCAGGGATTTAATGCCAAGAAATTGAATGTAAATGCTGTGAGTGACAGCGCCCTGCTAATTAAAGTAAAACCAACATTTACACATTACGGGATGACTGTGTGTGATGTCTCGTCTTTAAATTTGCTGTTTCCAAACCAGTTACAGAACTGTTCTATATCAAACATTAGCAGAACAAAAAATTCCTCCTGGCTGATGAGTACAATATGCAAGTTGACAGCATAAATGTATAAAATGCACGAGGCGATCCCTGCTGAAAAGACAAGCTTAGACCACCATGTGTTTCCAAAAGCTGGTTTAATGTAAAGCTATGCTGTTTACCAACAAAACTTAACCAGCATGGCCTTGAGTGGATATCAGCACACCATTATCCCAGTCTTGAAAAAAAGCATCCAAAATATATAATGCAATAAGCAATGCTGGGGTTACTGATGAATTCAGTGAATTCCTACTTGTTTAAAATATAATAGAATGTAAATGTATGTAGACATCAGTTATTCTTTCCAGCACAAAAGAGAATTTCAGTATAAATGTTGTGGCCTGCAGTGTCCCATTTTAAAGCTCAAAGTTATGAAGATCCCACTTCAAAAAGCCTCTCAACAAAACCTCAAAAAAGCACATTGAGCTGCCCTTCAAAAATCCCTTTGTAAAAACTGTCACCCCTTTCCAATCCATAACAGTCACTCACCTGTGCTGTCCTCATAAACCACAGTAACAGACTTCCATTTGTAGAAAATGACAATGTCCAGGATAGCCCTGCTTATGGAGGTGTACTCAGGGTAGAGGTTAATGTAAAAATTGTCTTTATTGTCCACAGATGGGTGTTTCCAGCGTGTCTGGATGTGCGGCACCTCTAGGGCATTGCAAATGGATTGGACGGCACTGACCGAGGAGCTGTGAGAGGGGCCGAAGACCGCTGCAACACCCAGGGCCAGCTGGTCACACACTGAGAGAAGAAAAATGGAGAGCAGACAGGGGAAGAAAAACACGAAAAATGAAAAAAATATGTGGTGGTATGAGAAAAAGAGAAGAGAAAAGCATAGAACAAAGTGTGTACATAATAAAAGCAATAGTCTAGCCTTGTTAGTTCTGCTAAGTTTTCATTCAATTAGCTTACAATGGTATTTTCCATGAAAGTTGTTGGTTCTAATTTAAAGCATTAGAGGTACAAATAATGTTTTTGTAGGGATGTAACGATTCACTCAACTCACGATTCGATTCGATTAACGATTTTGTTTAACAAAATGAGATTTAAGACAAATTGTAAATTAAATGTGTCCTTTTATTATTGCTTGGACAAAATACTGTACGTTTCTTTGTGAAATTGAAATATAACACTATAATAATATACTAATATAGCACTTGTAAATTATTGCTCTTTTGTTGGTTTTGATTGCTTCTATTGTCCTCATTTCTTAGGCGCTTTGGATAAAAGTGTTTGCTAAATAACAAAATTTAAATATAATGTAAATGTAAATAACAAAACTAAATTGAAATTTTTAAACAAGCCCCAATCAAATAAATAACACAAATAAAAGAAATCTCTTCATATAAATAAACTAAATTAATTAAAATTAGAGGCAACCACTGCATTTTAATCATGATCCAAACAAAGATGCTGCATACATGCAACATGAGCAGTTTTTAATCTAAAGTACATTGTATAATTTCGAAATCTGAAGCAAAAACAGAATGGTTTGACTTCAGTTTTGTCCTGAAACTATGCATAAAAAATATCTGCATGAAACAGAAACAGCAGACGAGCTGAGAGCAGATTCACTCTCTGCCAGCAGGTGGCACTTAAAGCGTTTCCTTGGTTTCCGCTGTAAACAAAGCAGCGCTGCACAGCCTGCACTTATGAACTTTAATATGCATTATATAGAGGAAAGAGGAAAAGAAAAAATACCATCGAAAGACGCAAGAAGTAAGTTCCCCTCAGACATACATTCATATAAACTCCTACTCCTAATTGAATCGAGATTTGTTTAGAATCTCAACTGATTTGAATCGTCACATATTTAAATCGATTTTCAACCGGCTCGCTGTTAATCGTTACATCCCTAGTTGTAAGACCTACTAAATGTGTTGAATAAAATACTGAACATAAAATTAACAAAGTAGCTAATTTTACACATCTGCCCATGATTTACACATGATTTTGGACTGTCCAAGTATTTCAAGTATGTCAACTGTATTTAATAATTTAAAATAACTATATTGAACTGAAATTCAATACATAATATAGCATTGTTTAATACATAACTACAAACCAAGAAAAAGTATAAACAAACACATTAAAGTATATTCACTTTTGTCACAAACTTTATAAAATAAAATTGTAAAATAAATACAAAATATACAGTGGAGATCAAAATTAGAGAACAATTTATAAATACTTTATTTTTTCTGAAATATTGTTAATCTTTATCACTCAAAATTTGAAGGAATATTAGCTGTGGGTATACCATTGTTCTACTAACATGTTTGACAAAATAACCAAAGCATTTCAACAAAAACCTTTATTTTGTGGAAAAAACAGTGATCAAAATTAGAGAACAGTAACCACTGTAGCATGGAAGAAGATTACAACAATTTTTGGAGGGTTACCGCTGTCAGAAACTATTAGGAAGTGTAGAGTCACTCGCTTTGAATGACTTCAGCAAATCTGTGGCCGCAGGACATCACTAGTTTCTCACATTGTTCTGGTGTGATCTTGGTCCACTCTTCTTCCATAGTTCTGTAACTGTAATGGGTTTCTTAGCCATAACTTTGTTGCCAAAGGATTTTCCAGAGATTTTCAGTGGGTTTAGATCAGGACTCTGGGCCGGCCATTTCATTATTTCAATGTTTTCTGCTTCAAGGAACTGCTTTACCTGTTTTGCAGTGTGACGAGGACATTGTCTTGCATGAAAACTGCAGGCTGATTGGGAGATGCTTGCAGGGAAGGAACCGCATGTTGCTGAAGGAGGTTCTGATAAACATTTTCATTCATCCTGCCATAGCTATATAAGCGGCCCAACTCCTGCTGCACAAAACATCCCCCAAACCATTCCTCCTCCACCTTTCACTGACTTCTTTACACACTCAGGGGTTCAGTCTCTCCCCAGTTTGACACTGGATATAATGTTTCCCATCTGACCCAAATAAATTAAACTTGCTCTCATCACTAAAGTGATTTGGACCAGTTCTCTCTCCACACAACATGCTCCTCAGCAAAGGTGAGTCTAGCCCTTTGATTTTTTCTGCTGATAAGAGGCTCCGTCACTGCAGAGTGCGTTTTCAGTCCGACTTCTCTTATACGTGCCGAGACAGTTCAATACCCTGTTCATCGCTGAACTGGCGAGCAATTCCAGCTGCAGTGTTGAACCGATTGCCCATCGAGATTCTCCGCATTATCCTGTCTTCTCGTGCATTTGTCTTACATGGACGACCAGCCTTTTTGGGGGACTTGAATGAATTAGTGTCATTATAAACCTGCAATATTCTAGAAATCACAGATTTGGAATGACCAGCTTCTCTTGCAGTGGCTGAAAGGGTCATCCCTCTGGCCTTCATCTCGACAACCGACAACCTCAGGCTTTCAGTCACCTTAGAGTGGCCCGCCATCGTGCAATCTCAGTGAAAATTAGAGGAAAGAGGAATGTTAAATAGGGTTTGTCATATAATTAAGGAAATTAGCACCAGGTACCAGATTAAGTTTTTTATACTGTGCTTCAGAATACAATTAATTTACGAAATATGCCTAAAAAACAGCCCTTCTACTCCTGTTAGGATAACTTCAAATAGGACTAAGCAGTGACCTTGAAATTTAGGAAATTGTAGGTTGTTCTCTAATTTTGATCTCCACTGTATGTCATGTACATGTATATCCATCCTAAAACCTGTCAATACAGGTTGATATCATATAAATAAATATAAATGTATTTTAAAAAATATTACAAAAACATATATGAACAGCTTTTGTTCTTGTGACTTTTTTTTTAGATGTCTCTGCTGCTAAAATTACTCACCACCTACTCTTTTCTTATTAACAGGATGTGCCCATGGGCCAGTACCACTTTCAGAGGCGTTCAGAGAGGTGATTTAACTTCTGTATATTTTTTTTCCAGCAGTAACATTGAGCATACTAAAGGGAAGTTATGTTACAGTAGTTGACGTATTTCATCTGTTCTAAATCCTAGTGATCCTAGTTTTGACCTTTTTGTAATAAACATAGTATTTAAATACATACAGTAGGATGAATATGTATAGAATGAATTGAAATGGTAAAGATATTTCATGTTTATGAATGTATGCCAAAGAGCCTTCTAGATAGAGTCATTAATATGTCAATGTACTCCTCAGAATAAAATCTCAGAAGAAACGTTTTGAGGAGGAACTCAATGAGAGGATGATTCGAACTTTTGATGGGATCAGTTCTCAAAAGTAGGTCACCTCATATCTCTGCTTTATTTGCCCATTATGTTTAATGTTCCAGTTCTGTGTTGGTTGGTTTTATCTATCCGTATCTTTTTTTCCATAGACAATGGCTCAAATCAGAGGACATTCAGAGAATATCTTTGTTTTTCCACAATAAAACATTGGAAAAAGAGGTAAGCACTGATACTTTGTAAGCTAATGTTAATTTGAACTAGAGTCATCCATAGTTTATTAATAATATGTCACCATATCAATAATTGAAATATAAACCTGTTTGTTGTCACCCACGATAAGACAAGACGAATCAGTCAACTAAATAAAAAAAAGACCAAATTGTTAGATCCTGTATGAGAACAGTATGTCCTTTCCCTGCAGTATAGAGCAACGACCCTGCCGGCCTTCAAATATTATGTCACCTGTGCCTGCTTGATATTCATCTGCATTTTCATTGTGCAGATCCTGGTTCTGCCAAAGTAAGTTTGTTCATCTTCTGTACCTGTTTCACAGTGCATGACAACACAAGAAATGTAATAGAAGGATTTAAACAATGCAATCTGTATCCAAATAGAAATATTTTAACATAGAATTCTTAACTTCTACTGACTTATGTTTATTTCTATTACAAAAGGTCTCTATTTAAGTCTTCACTGTTGTGAACTGGAGATGTCAGGATGAATTTGTGAGCGAGAACACCTGTTCTCACTTTCTTCCGTTTGTGATTTAAGACACCATGTGCTTTCTGTCTATTTCAGAACTGCAATATTGGGAATATCATTTGGAATGTCTTTCTTAATTCTGTCTGTGGTTCTGCTCATTTGCTTCATTGGACATTTTTTGGTAAGTGCCAATGGAATCTAGTGTTTACTTTCAAAATAATTTAACACTATTTTAGCAAAAGCCAATCATTCATTTCAAACAAGACAATTCCTACTTGAAGTTTGGTACATTACATTACATTGCCATTTGTTATTTTGGAAGAAAAAATATATAATATGCACACATACAGAAACTTTAGGCAGGTGCTTGATCAAATGAAGTGCTTCACTATAAGTAAACAAAAATCGGCACACTGCCACTGCTGCTCCCAAAGATCAATATATTAAAATAAACACAACGTTTCGACCCTAAGGTCCACAGAAATAGTCTTATAGGAACTTGACTGGTATGACTGATAAGCATTTGCTGTATTTACAAAACATATGGCTATATGGTACTGTAAGCAGGCCGAATTAGAAATCACAGATTTGGAATGACCAGCTTCTCTTGCAGTGGCTGAAAGGGTCATCCCTCTGGCCTTCATCTCGACAACCTCCTGTTGCAGGCTTTCAGTCACCTTAGAGTGGCCCGCCATCGTGCAATCTCAGTGAAAATTAGAGGAATGCTGCCAGTTAAATAGGGTTTGTCATATAATTAAGGAAATTAGCACCAGGTACCAGATTAAGTTTTTTATACTGTGCTTCAG